GACCTAGAATTGGGGGCGGTGGTGTTTTCCCTCAAAATGTGGAGGTATTACTTGTATGGAGTACGGTGCACCATCTTTACCGACCACAAAAGTTTGAAGTATTTGATGGATCAACATAACCTCAACAGGCGACATAAGAGGTGGTTAGATGTACTGAAAGACTATAACTGTGAGATCTTATACAATCCAGGGAAGGCCAACGTGGTGGCTGATGCTTTGAGCTGCAAGATGGCAGGTTCCCCGATTGGGAATGTTTGTTTGAGGATGACGGTGATATCACAATTGTTGGATACGATCAAGGAGGATCAGGTGGAGGGTTTGAAGAGAGAAAATTAGAAGCTAGCGTAGATACGAGGTCAGATTCCCTTGTTTGTTTGGGATGGTCGAGGTCTTTTGACTCAGTGTGGCCGAGTGTGGGTTCCAGCATCTGGAGGAGTGAGACAGAAGATATTAAAGGAGGCACACAAGTCCAAGTTCTTTATACATCTAGGGGATACAAAAATGTATAGAGACCTCATACTGAGTTACTGGTGGCCCTGCATGAAGCGGGAGATCGCCTGGTTTGTGGAGCAGTGCTTGACTTGCAGGAAGGTCAAGGCCGAACATCAGCGGCCTCATGGCAAGGTTCAGTTGCTACCCATTCCCATGTGGAAATGGGAAGAGATCATCATGGACTTCATCACAAAGTTATCGAGGACGGCGAGGGGTGTGGATGCCATATGGGTCATTGGGGATAGATTAACAAAGAGTGCCCACTTTATTCCGATCTCCGAGAGCATCTCTGCTGAGAAGTTAGCGGACATTTACATGCGAGAGGTGGTGGTTAGGCAAGGGGTGCCAATGTCAGTAGTATCTGAATGGGATGTTCGATTTACATCCAGATTCTGGAAGAAGTTCCATGAGGAACTGGACACTCAGTTACATTTTAGCACGACATACCACCCCCAGATAGATAGACAAAGCGAGAGGACGATCCATATACTCGAGGATATGCTTCGATCATGCGTGTTGGATTTTGGAGGAAGTTGGGATACATACCTCCCACTAGCATAGTTTTCATATAATAACAATTATCATGGTAGTATTGACCGACCCCCATTTGAGATGTTGTATGGTCGTAGGTGTAGGACCATAGTTTGTTGGGGCGAGGTTGGACACCAAGTCATGGGGAGCACCGAGGTAGTGCTCAAGACTACCGGGTTGATTAAGTATGTGCGCGACTAGCTGCGAGTCGCACAGAGCTGTCAGAAAATCTATGTTGACCGGCGTTGATCGGATCTTGAATTCCAGGTGGGGAACTTTGTTTTACTGAAAGTGTCGCCATGGAAAGGAGTCATCAGTTTCTGGAAGAGGGGCAAGTTAGGGCCTCAATATATTGGCTCGTTCAGGGTTTCGGCCCTGGTGGGCAAGGTGGCTCACCTCCATTACTCCTTTGCATGAGTGCCACGTGTCATAGCCTTGATGAGTCCGGAGTTATCCCTTAGGACTCCCCGCGTACCATGATGTACGCCCAGCGTACTAGTTGAATTAGTAGTACACCTCGTGTACTCTAAATTTACGCCCAGCATACCCGATGGTTCAAACCTATAAATAGAAAACGATGGCTTACAGGTTTTTGTTTACAAACTCATTTCTCTTTCACTCTTTACTCTATTTTAGCCTACTTTTAACCCCTTAAAGCCCGAGTATCATTCCCGACACCTGAAGCAAGTCCCAATGCTCTGATGTTCCCGAGAAAAGTATATTTTCAAGTTGAAACTCTGCCCGTGTAAGGCCGGTTTTCAACTAAAATCCCCGGTTTCATCGAAGAATATTGTTTTAAGAAACAAAGTGTTGCCCGATTATTGTTAAATCAAGTGAGTGTGTAGTCACTTTCATCTTACACATATATATCAAGTCTTTTCTATAAAATACGTGCTATGTGTATATTTATTGTTTGTCTAATTGAGATGGGTATTGAATGAATGTTTTATACAAGTTTTAAAATGATTTAAATTGTATATGTATTTTTATCTAAAATATTTTGGGTATAACATGGGTAGATGAAATAGTTGATGTGTGTTAAAATGATGAGAGGCCTCGATATTATTGTTGTTTCAGTCGTCTAACGGAGTACAGATGACGATCACAGATTTTTCTAGACATTCAAGTGGAACGCTAGTAGGCTCGCAACATGTAGGTGTTTGTGAACTTAGTGTTCAATGGTATACTTCATCCCCCACATGGTTGCCTTATTTAAAATAAATTGTTGAGGAATCACTTAAAGCAGTGTTATCACCCCGATGAAAAGCCTTAGACTAGGTCCCTTGTGATATGTGTTTAGGGACGTAAAGTTAGGATAAGTAATCAGAGTTATTGTTGGTTGATAAAATTAATAAATTTATTTTGGATTGATAAATTTATTGTTGGGTGATGAAATTAATAAATTTATTTTTGGTTGATGAAAATTAAATAAATTTATTATTTGTGGGTTGAAAACCTTATACACTCAACAGGCTCCCAAGCCTGATCCACTCAGTTTTTTATATTATAGGTAGTGGACCCGAACGTAGTTTGGAGGTTGAAGAGAGATTTTTGAATTATAAGTCAGTAGTTGTAAATATCTATTGTAAGGCTTATAATTTACTGTTTATGTTTTTAGTCTGTATCGAATCATGACATTCCGAGGTTTTTATTATACAATGAAAATATATTTCCTTAAGAAATGTTTTGATAAATTTTTATTATATTTTGTTTTGGGAACAAATTCTGCAACATCTTTTGAAAAATTACTCTGATTTTATTTTATAAACTAAATCGGTATTTTCTGGCCGAAAAAAAATGGGGATGTAACACATTCGTATAAATATAACATGTTGATTGTAATCCCATTTGTATTGCACATTATAGCACATTATATAATTAGTTGTAATGAAACATTCAAAGTTTAATTGACAAAAATGCCAACAAATAACCTATCGATTGTATCCGATTGCACGTATTCTGATCACACATTCTAAAAAAAATAAGCTATTCATTAGTTGTAATAACGAATTGAATGTTCAATTCACAAAGCCAACCAAAAAAAATCCCAGATAATAATAGACGATTGCAACAAAAAAGAGACGACACGGTAAAAAAAGAGGTCGACGAAGGTTATGATGATCGCTTAGACTCAATCTGCCATCGGGTAAATGGATTCATGCGATTTAGAAGGAAAGGGTATTATTGTCAATTTAGTTATTTTTTTTTTTCAATTTTAATGATTTTAAATTGTAAAAAAGGATTAAATAATAATAAAAACTATTTACAAAATAGATTTGTGCAAATCCGACATTTTAAAACATTAAGAAGAGCAAATACGATATTTAGACGTTTACTAAGGGTATATAAAAAATTCTCCCAATAATTATAAAATATAATGTAAACATTAAAGTTATCTAACCTTTTATAATATTTAACGTTAAAAAGAATATTTTAGGTATATTGTTATTTATTCAACATTATATAATCTTATCCTAAAATTAAACACTATATATAGAGTTACACTGAAATTGAACACTATATATAGTGAGGTATAATGTAAGGAAATTCAAACACTATATATGACGGTAGGTATAAATGTAAGGGAAAACTGCAATAAAGTCCCTATATATTGGCCTCATAATCGATTTAGTTCATATATATATTTTTTTATTCAATTAAGTCCCAAATACCGGTAATCGTATTCAATTTAACCCTTTAACCCAATCAACATGTCATCCAAGTTTCAAAAATTACATTTTTGACCCAGATTTCAAAATTTATTACAAATTTGGTTCAAAATTTACACTTTTGTCCCAGATTTTAAATTTTGTTGCAAATTTAGTACAAACTTTACCCTTTTAGCCCAAATTTTAGAATTTTATTATGAATTCATCATAACTTTAGTTTTTTTTACAACTATTTTTCTCAAAGAATTGTTTCTAATATGTTTTTTCTTTATAAAATCATGATTATACAAAAAAACGTATTTTCACTTAAAAAATTTATATTTTCTATATAAAAAAAATTTTAAAAACTTTTTTTATATGAATATCTAGTTATAAAAATAAATATTTAATAAGTATATAAATATACACAAATCCATTTTTATAAAAAAAATGTATACAAATACCTATTTTATCTATATTTTTTTTTATAAAATTGTGTTTGTTTACATTTTTTATAAAAACTTATTTTAATAGTTTTTTATATAATACGTGTTCGTATATATTTTATCAAATGTATACGAACACGATTTTATAAAATATATACAAACACGTATTATATAAAAAATTATTTAAACACGTTTTTATAAAATGTATACAAACACGATTTTATAATATATATACAAACACGATTTTGTAAAATAAATATAGATACACACCTATATATATATATATATATATATATATATATATATATATATATATATATATATATATATATATATGTATGTGTGTGATTGTATACATTTTTTTGTAAAATAAGTTTTTGTATACATTTTTTTATAAAAACGAATTTGTATATATTTATATACTTAATAAATATATATTTTTTAAACTAGATATTTAATATACAAAAAACTTTTTTTTTATATAGAAAATATAAAATTTTTATGTGAAAATACATTTTTTTTTGTATTAATATGATTTTATAAAGAAAAAACATATTAGAAATTTTTTTTTGAGAAAAAAAATTGTAAAAAAACTAAAGTTGAGATGAATTCATAATAAAATTCTAAAATTTAGGTAAAAAGGGTAATGTTTGGATTAAATTTGTAACAAAATTTAAAATTTGGGCCAAAAGTATAAATTTTGGACTAAATTTGTAAAAGTATTTGAAATCTGGGTTAAAAATATAATTTTTGAAAGTTGAATGACCTGTTGACCGGATAAATGGTTAAATTGAATATGATTATCGGTATTTAGAAGTTAATTGAATAAATAATAAATCTAGAAACTAAATCGAATACGTAGCAGTTTTTCCTAAATGTAAAAATGGTTTTGAGCGAAGGCTATGCCCTACGCCCTACTTTGGAACACATCTTCTCTTCAGTTCTAACTATTTTCTTTTTCCCGCGAATACCTTATCTCTGCCTCACTACCGACTGGGTTCTCCCTCGCCATTCCCACGAACTCCTTCGCCGCCGTTCACGCCGGCCACCCCTCTGCCTCCCATCACGTGACCTGTGTTGTGCGAAGAAGTGAAGAACACCAAGAAGGCAAGCAATCAGGCCATCAGCCCTCTTTCGTCTGGTAGATTGTCAAATGAATAGGGCAAGGAGGTAATCGGCTGGAAAGGTTATTGAATTCCTGAAAACTCAGTTGGTTTCCAGCACAAGAAAGAAGGATCTAGCACATCAACTTTGAAAAAGGAGGGCTGGTGATGCTCACGACCATATACAATATCGGTTTGTATTAAGTAAGCTTATTGGTGGTGCTGCTGCAGAGTGCAGACTGCTTGCAGTTCGGCTAAAATGGCTATCCCTCTTTCAAATCTCACTCCCAGTCTCCTTGTTTCAAAGCTCTGTTTAGGTTGTCCTCGACCTTCTCCTCCTTTTACAGAGAGAGTAACAATGGACTCAAATTTTTTGTTTTGTTTTGTTTTTTCTTTGAAAGGGACGATGACATTCGGTGAGCAAAATTCGTTGTCACAGTCCTTCAAACTCCTGGACAAAGCATTCGATTCTGGAATCAACTTCTTCGATTCTGCCGAAATGTAACCTATTTTGGTTTCTCATTAATTGATTATTACTTTGTAATTTGTATTGAATAATTTCCGAGAAAATTTCAGGTATCCAGTGCCACAGCGTGCAGAAACACAAGGAAGGAGCGAAGAATACTTTGGTCGCTGGCTTAGAGAGAGAAAAATACCTCGTGATCGTGTTGTATTTGCCACCAAGGTTTTTGTCTCCTTCCTATTTGCTAATGATTGCTTGGTTTTCAGAATTCGATATGTATGTCTGTTTGTTATTAGGTTTAAAATTGAATAATGAAATGTGTTACTATACATGTCGTTTGCTTAGGAATTATAGAATTGGTTTATTGTATGAAGTCGACAAGCTTTGTTTCCTAAAAAGTCCATTAGGGAATGTAAAATTACTCTTCTGAAAGTAAAATTTGCAGGTTAGTGGCCCTTCTGGGCAAATGAGTTGGATTCGAGGGGGTCCAACTAGTTTGGATGGAAGGAATATAAAGATGGCTATTGACAACAGGTTAGTGTATTATCATCTTACAAGAATAGTAAGTTGCTGTAATTCTAGTAAAAAATGGTAACTTTTCAGTTGATGGGTGCATTTTGTATGTTGGAGAACTGCTGCAGTTTGCTGAGACTACAGACTGACTATATTGATCTTTATCAACTCCACTGGCCTGATCGGTTTGTTGCCCCTTTAATATAACTTCATTAACATGAAGCTGTGTAGTGTGTATACAATTATAAGGTTTTGTTTTCTTGGAGATTATTTGATGCAGATATGTTCCAATGTTTGGAGAAACTGATTATGATCCTGTCAGACAATATAGTCCTGTTAGTTTTGATGAACAACTTGATGCTCTAGGAACAGCAGTTGATGCTGGTAAGGTTGGTATCCTCACCAATCATCTGTCAACTGTAATTATACGCCAAATCAGCTTTAACTAATGATAATGAAAATGATGCTTTTTATGTAGATCAGATTCATTGGTGTAAGCAATGAAACGCCATATGGAGTCATGAAGTTCTTACAAGCTGCTGAAAATAACCCTAGTTATCCAAGAATAGCCACTGTTCAGGTGTTTTATCATATTATTTTGACTTCAAACAATAATAATGTTTTGAGTCATCAGACTATTTTTGCAATTAGCATGAACTTTTATTGATCTTGTAGAACTCGTACAACTTGCTGTGTCGAAATTTCGATTCAGGATTGGCAGAGTGTTGTCATTTGGAGAGGTAGCTTTTCATTGCTTACTATGGTTTATGCTACAAATATTCAAACTTTTATGGTTTTTTTGTAAATAAATTTTTTAGGGTTAGGTTATTGGCATATAGCCCTCTGGCAATGGGTTTGCTTTCTGGAAAGTATATGTTACCTGATGGTGGTGGAGATGATGCTCGGTTGAATCTTTTCAAAGGAAGGTATTCAGAAGGGGAATCCAGATATAACTTATCAAATCACACCATTAGAGAAGCTACTAAAGTAAATCCACTCTCCTTCTGTATGAATAATGAATTTCACATCAATTTGTTCATATTCTTCATTTTAAAAAAATTGATTTTGCAGGCATATGTCTCGATTGCAGAACGTTATGGTATCCATCCGGCATCTCTTGCAATTGGTATACAATATTGTTACAGTTTTTTTTTAAGTTTTGTTTTATAAAATATCATAAAAAGAAATTAAGTTTATTTTGTATGTGGTAATTGTGGGCAGCTTTTGTTTTGAGACACCCTCTTGTGAGCAGTGCTATTTTTGGGGCTACAAAATTATGGCAACTTGAAGAGATTGTTAATGCATGTGATACAAAGCTTAGCTCGGAAATTATTGCAGACATAGATGAGGTTCATTCAAGATTTCCCAATCCTTGCTCTTGAGTAAATCAGTTTTCGACTCTTAGTTATCTTCTTTGGAATTAATAGTGTTACTTTTATTAGTTTATACTTTCTGAGTTATTTCTTATTAATAGATAATATTATATTATTATTATTATTTGGACGTTCGTTGTTAGGCAGGGTCCATTTCAATTAATGCAAATTTGGCAGTTCTTGCCTACATTCTCTGATATTAATATTCGTATCAAGCCATGCGACGTTATATTATTGGGTTGTATTTTGTTGAATTCTATTTTTTTTTAAAAGGAAAAAAATAAAATAAAAATATCCATCGACTAATTTTTAATTTTTATCCTTTTTAGAAAAAGATAAAATAAAACACATGGTCTTGAAGTAAATGGAATCAAATGTTGTGGTTCTCTCTTTAAGAGGTAAAATGAAGTTTAAGGAGATATAATGCAAAAAAAAAAAAAAAAAAAAAAAAAAAAAAAAAAAAAAAACTAGCCATTAAAAGCCAAAGATAAAAGTTGATTGTGTTATAATAACATTATTATTATTTTTTTATTTCTATACAAACTCAAATAACAATAATTTTCTTTTTCTTTTACATTGTTTTTAGCTCAAATAAAATATTATTTTAATCATCTATGATAACCGATAAATAGTACAAGTACCCTCGATACTCGATATAAAGAAATGTAATTATCATTGTTCAATCCTAAACATGTTGTTGGCCCATGTCATAAGATTTTTATCATGATCAAGAATTTCCACAAAAATAATATTGGTGTTAGGAGAAGTCAATTAAAGAGAGACATCAAACAAGTGCAAAGGAAATTATTGCACGTAAAATAATAATAATAATAATAATAATAATAATAATAATAATAATAATAATAAAAAAGATGGATTAGCGACATTAAAAAAGAAATTAAAGATGCTGAAAAATGATTATTTGATGTAAATATGGACATTTATCGATTAAATATCCACGAAAAAATGGTTATTTGATGTCAATACAGAGGTTTATCAACTATTCAGATACTCTTATCTTTATCGTTTCAGCTAATTATAATTTATTTGTGGCTAGATCATGTTTCCACATCATGGTTGATCCAGCATGGATTGTGGTAGACAAGATGGCAAGGTTAACAATATGTTTCTACCAAAGAATTTTTTACAAGATGACAACTATATAAATTATTCTCTTTGTAGCATTATAAATAGAACTCATGTCATATATGCAGGGCCGACCCTAAGGGAGTGCAAGGTGTGCGGTCGCACACAACATTGAAAAAATTAGGGACTGGTTTTTAGCCAATTTATATATATATATATATATATATATATATATATATATATATATATATATATATATATATATATATATATATATATATATTATTTGATTCAAATTGAAACATAAATTTGATTTGGCGTAGTTGGCTGAAGCGCGTTGTAGTTTTTAGATAAATGCCAGTTCGATTCCTACGGACAACAACCTTTTTTTTTTTCATACGCGCTTTCTTTATAAACATCACCTTCTATTAATATGTAACTAGAAGCGTTCCAGCGCGTTGCGCTGGTCGGAAATGGTGTTGTATGGGTCGGAATGGTGCATGTGGATTGAAATCAATGTTGAAGTATAATATTATAACAGGAGGATGAACCAATAGACATAGTTATGAAAGTAGGTTGCTATTTCTTGTATGTAACTAAATTTAAATGCAGAAATAACATATTAATTATACTTGAATAAACAACACATTTTATATGCATTAAGATTCTAATACAAAACATTAAACATGTTGTTAGGAGGTTCTCAAAAAGAGTTTCCAATGGGTAAATCAGTACTTACCTAAGCAAAAGAAACATTGTAATCAGATACAAATAACCTCTGTAAGGAAAATGATGTAACCAAGTTTCTCAAGTGATCTAAGTTGGTGGAGTGCTAATAAATATGATGTATGGCATGCAATCAACAATAAAAAACTTCCCATTAGAATAATCATTTATAAGGTGAAATGAGGTTGTTCCATATGTACACGTAAGTCTTCACCGTCTTCTTATTCCAATCAATTTATTCCCCCACCTTCTAAATAACAATGGTATAACTTTATCACTCACTTCTGCTTGGTATTGAAGACATTTTATAAGACCATTTTGTTGATTGAATGAAAGTTAAGCATAATAGACTCTATCAACCAATTTTGAAGACATTTTTTCAAGATTTCATGTCAATTGAAGCACTTTAGTATCATCTTGGATTTGTATCAGATTGGTGGAGGGTGTTAACAAACTCCACAAGTTACCTTTTTGCCCCTTATCTTTTACCATGGCTCCACATCCTCATGACAACCACTCTCCTCTTTTAATCCGTCTACTTCTTCCTCTGATGGGGGTATTTTTGGAATTTCACACAACTCATAAACCTTGCTTTGTTCATCATGTTTACCATCATCCAAGCAATACTTGTTGAGCCAAATTCCATTGCTAAAGAAGATTTCAAAATCTGATGGACGTCAAATGGCACATTAGTTAAAATGATGTTTTAGATCCAAAAGCCTACATATGATTTTCAATTTTTGAAAAAAGCAACAGAACAATGGCGACTATTATTGGACAACTCCAAACATGCAAGATTGCAAAACTCAAGAGACAATTACCAAAACTCAACAAAATCCTTCTATACGTACACAAATAACTTCATATAGCCACTATTATCCCTTTCTAAAAATAACAGAAACGAAATAAAATAACTCAATAAGGAAATACATGAAACAAATGACAATATATATCATCTATTTTGAAGATTTAAAGATTACCTTGTTATGTTTTCTAATTTTTACAAATGGGTTGTCGGCTTTAAAGAAGATTATTAATTCATCTATAGAAGTTTAAAAAAATTTAACATTATTTTTATATTCAACCTAATAAGACAAAGAAGTCGTGAAATCATACTAATTACACATTTCATCATCCCTTTTTTTTAATGGACCCAAAAATACAAAAAAATAAAAATAAAAATAACAAATCAAAAGAATGACAATATAATTCAATAAATACCAAATAAAAAATAAGGTAAACTGATTGTATACAACTGTTATGTGTGCCAACAGCCCAAAGACATATGTACAACCATAAATACATCTATTTGTACCATTCCACTTAAACAATATTTAATCAACATTTTTTACAACATATATAAAATTTGACAAATTATATCAAAAATATATCAAATTGACTGTTTATGATTGTTTATGATTGGAATAGAAGTAACCAAGATTTCATGCGGTAGCGATCCATTGCTTTGTTGTTGTGGTAGACATGATTAATTCTAGCAAATAAAAAATAAAAAAAACATACTTTTTCTGATGACAAATAATTGCAATTTCCTCAATATGTCAAAAAAACTTTCTTAAATCGAGGGCAAACTCCTAAATTCTATTAACTCATAAAATCACATAAGATCTTACAATTTCAAACAGATACAACTCAGCTAATCTTTCTACTATATGTACCTATGCATAACACTTTTCAAGCCAGCATGACTACTTCTTATAGGATCCATATGCAGAGCACATGAAACTATAATTAACTCAGTTACATCTTCTTCATCTAACACTGTACAATAAGGATCCATACCTGTCAAATAACAGAGAAAATTTTGAACCAGTCAAATGGATTTGGTGGAAATGAAACGGTTTTCTAACTTACTTGCAATTTACAGCTATAAACTGTATCAATATGAAGTTGTTCTAGCATAAGTCATATAATGGTCGATATGGACGTACTTTTGAATCAATCTCATGGAGAACTATATTACATTGCAATGAAGCATTACTCTTTAAAGTTGATGGTAGGTCCTTAACGAATCAAGCAAAGGAAAATACGTGTACATGCCAAACAAATCACGTGGGTTAGCTGCAGAACCACCAATCACAAAAAATGCGGTCAAAATATAAAATAATACATGTTAGGTCTTTATGAAATGAGATGTGGGGTAAAAAATTGACCATTTTACCGAGAAAAAAAGATAGCCAGCTCCAAGTGAAAGGAATTTGGACTCTCCCGTCACAACAGAGTCTTCTGGTAGTGAAAATTGGTTCCTAACTATAGCAAATTAGAATCCCTGGTAAGTGCCTGTCGAAAGAAAGAACTTTTATTAAATAAAGCTTATAATGAAAGTATACACCAAATGAAATTACTAACCGGAAACCTGATTTAATAAGAAATATGGCAAAAATGGCATAGCAGAGTGAAATTAAGGTTTAAATTTTGTGCAGTATATTTCACCTGAAAGCAATATCGTATCTTAGGATGAGACCCCAAAAAACCCAAAATCATATGAAACGACCCAAGAATCACGACTAACTTTTTTTTTAAAACATTACTAAAACCATATTTATAAAAACCGTATCATAGTCATAACATAATTTCCGAGTATTAATTCAAAACATAATCTTATTATCACAGTAACACATTCCCAGGCTAACTGACTATGGAGTGTGCACTACAACCTCTCCGAGCTCCTATTTTGAAAACTAAGTACCTGAAACCAAAAACTGAAACCGTAAGCACGAAGCTTAGTAAGCTCCCCCAAACTATCACATACCATACAATAACATATAAAGCACATACTGGGTCTTGCCCACTACATCGGACCGAAATCCGGAAACTGCATCGGACTAAAGTAAGTGAAACTAGAAACTTATCTATAAAAGGTTTGATTTTCATTATTAAACCAATATAACTTAAAGGACCTTTAGTGGTTAATTCTATAATACCTTAGTTTATACATCAAGGTTATATATAATTAATATCCGACAGGCAGTTGGATGTGTGTTTCCCGCCTTACTTCTTGTTCCTTGTTTGGTTGTGGGCTTAGGATAGATTCACACATTTAACTGTCCGTTTGATATGAGATTATATATAACTAGTATAAACTAAGTGATCATAGAAGGAACTATTGTGGTTACCATTTTACTAAAGGAAATATATGATTTTATTAAGGAATGTTTTCTTCAAATATAAAAGAACTATTACAGTTAACTCTGTAAGTACCAAATGATACGCCATGGTTATATATAATGAAGATCTAACAAACAATGGGATGTGTGAGTTCCACTTCATTTCCTGTTCCATGTTTGGTTGTGAGCTTAGGGCAGATTCACACAGTCGATTTTTTGTTTACTCTAATTTTTATATAACTTGTATCCATTTAATACTCATAGAAGGAATTGTAAAGTCATTTTTACTTATCTTTCATCACATTAAAAAATATACGATTTTCTGTAGGAACAAGTGAACTTTTCAAAAGAACTTATAACTTACTTTCATAACTAAAATACTTATGAACTCACCAGCTTAAATGATGATC